CTTGCAGTTCAAGGTGGAATAGAAACGTACAGACCATACGATCGTACGTATCTACTTCACGATCGCAAAATCGCAAGACCGCAAACATGACCCCACCTGAAGTCGCGTTCATAGCTCGCGACTTGGAAGATCAAGACAGTAGGCTACAGAATATAAAGGTTGCAGTAGAGTGATACGCCGCTGAAAAGACAAGTATCGACCAAAATCGCGACTACATTAGAATCGTCTTCCTCTCTCCAGCGATTTCAATCGATAGGCATCTCATCTTTTCGGCGGAATCCTACTCTACTACCTACCATAACCTTTCAAGTCCCGAACTATGAACGTACTATCTATCCTACTCTCCCATGTAGCAAACTATAAACGCGGCCTCAAGGTGGGGTCATACTTTGAGCTCTGTCTGCAGTTCGAGTGTAGAACAGACACGTATCGACGGGCGATAGCGAATTTCGTGGGACCGCACAATCATTACGTTTCCTGTTGGCAAAGCTGTTCGAGCCGCAAACAGAGCTGCAAAGTATTACCCGACCATAAGCGACATGAACCCCAAATTAGATGGTGGAAGTCGTTTACTGCTAGGCGCAATGTTTGAACGTCCGACTTATTCAGTATTCGAAGACTTGCTTCATACCTTCCTTTCTTAAATGTTGACCTGTTTCAGCACTTTTAGCGAGTTGCTTTAATTCCTCATGCGCAGCCAGCAACGCCTTTTCACGTTTCTCCGCAGTACGTAGTTTATCTGAAAAAAGGAAACATTTCGATTACAATTGCTTGCAAAATGAGGCTATGATTCAACCAGCCATTGCAAAAATATGACGTTATGCGAGCCCAGCAGAACACCCAACGAAGGAGACACTCACGCTCTTTCCATATTTTGCTTGACGATTTCTTCTTGAGCAACTTCTCTCCTAATTTCCGACTTTTTCGTTTGAACTCGATATCCGTACCCATGGTCACCTACGGATTCCTGGAATTCTGGGTACAGGAAGCTATACTATACAAAAAACGGTTTAGCATGCAAGATGGGCAAGATGGACGAGAAATGGAACGGAACCACGAAGAACTACATGTACGAAAAAATAGCACATCATTTGTACTTGCTGATGCTACGTAAAAATTTGGCGGCGTCTTTGAAACGGCGGTCGCGTCGCGGCTGCGCCACTGGAGCACTCCAATCGTACAGCAGCATTGTCTCGCCATTACACTGACCATAATGTTGTGTTATGTTTATTACATGACCAGCATGTACAATTAAGCAGTAGGCGGAAGAATACAAAGGATGAAGGAACACAGCGGAACTACCCAGCCTTATCCAAACGGCAAACCATTCCGTCATTGGCACGACTATTCCGACCAGTACCACCGTTCTTTGTTCCGTGCAGTTTAGGTGCTCTCTTCGTTGTCACAATATCGAATGTATTTTTGATTGGGTAAACTATAACTATACCGATAACTGGGTACATTTCCTCTTCTTCGACATCCGACCTTATCGTGGAATCTCACCTTGACTGTATGCATTTTGACATGAATAGGACCAGAGCCTTTCTTCGCTGTGATAAAGTACTGCCTATCCAACGTAAAATTAATTCTCCAATATTCAATCAAGGTATGTATTTTGTTTTGTACACAACTGAAAATGGGCCAAGTTAGGAATAATCGCTACGTCGAAAATCCAAGGTAAATCCAAAATGAAAGCAATGACAAACATTTTTGTTTTCATACTAACTACTCACTCAGTTCTTTTGTTGCACAAGCATATTGTGCGCCCACTCAGGAGCTTCGTAGCTGTAAAAAATTGCATTACCGTTGCCAGGAGAGACACTGGTACCGCCACACCGCGACTCCTCCCTCTCCCCTCAAAGGGTGATTCCACAATAAGGACGGAGGTCGAAGAAGAGCATGTGTACGTTTACGCCCCTTGTGTAGGAAGGATTATTTCTGAATGTGTAGAAGTGTACAAACCTTTTCTGCCGAATGTGAAGTCGGCGTTCGTCGCTCTGCTTGTGGTGGTTCAGTAAAGGTACTCTGAGAGATAGGACGTAAACCGCACGCAGCTTTAACACATTGCAGCCCGCGTGCATCGCCGGGTATGCACGCAGAAACTCCCACATCTGACATTTGTGCATCGCCGGGTATGCACATCTGTATTTTGCTCCCTCAATGAACCTTTTTCAGTACTTCTTTGACTTCTGTTAGTCTCGCGAATCCGTAAAACATGTGGCATGTCGACAACTTCATTCTCAAAGAATTTATGATGCAATGAACAGGCGGGACCTTAAAGGGACCTTGCTTACTTACAAGGGAAGGATACCAAGTCGAAGTGGCCATCCGTAATGAAACCTATACTCAGAGATGTGTTTTCGGACGCTGATCTCGAATCCACTCTCCAAATTTGCGAAACGATTCTCTGAAAAGTGTTACGGAGGTTGTTTCGAATGAAAGCCCACTGTAAGAGACTCCGGCAGAGCTCGGCTTCCAGCGGCGGCTTGGCCGAGTGGTAGTGTTGGCGGCTTCCAGTGGTAAGACCATGGATGGGATCTTGCTGGGCATGAATTTTTTGCTTTTTGTAATTAGGTCTAATTTAAATATAAAAAATTATTCAGTGTTGAAATTTTCACTGCGTCCAAAGCTAACGCATGTTTAGAGGGGTTTGTTTAACGCATTCCACTTTTTCGTAATGTTTCGACCACTGCCGGGGTGTTTCTACGCCACGGAAGTGACGTATATCCGACGATGGGCTAAACAAATGGGAGATGCTTGCTCAACGGACCAAACTATCTTTGAAGGCTTAATTCTAGAAAGCTGACATTTGGACCCAATTTCGAAACTCGGTCTACAATGAGTCGTAGGTGTTATCCCTAGCCCCAGCCACTACCCTCCTGCTCCTCCTGGGCAGCGAGCGTGTACATGAAAAAATATCATATTAATCTTCGGATGGCACGAGCAAGTAGAGCAGGCAACTATATCTCTTTCACAATAATGACTGAAAGTTTAATTCAATCCCACGATCAGGCTCTGACAGTGGGTTGATGGATAGATGACTGCCCACATTTTCGACTTCAAGTCAAAATTTTAGATTTGGACCAAATGTTGTTGAAAGGGGTGTTTCGACGCGCTGAACACGAATATCGCATCTGCTTGGCACGAAATTGCCTTACGCGTGCGCTACGGGTGTCAGAGGCGGTCACTTTGCACAGTGCTCGAAGCTCTTCGCCAGCTCTGTTTACTTGTGCTATAGGCAATCGCTGATAACTTAGCATGGATAAGAGTCCCTTAAACAACGTTCACAAGAAAAGCAAAAGTGAGAACTCGCCAAGAACTCGATCTCACGACCTCTTGTTCGTCGGCCCGGGCCGCTGCCACTGCACTATCTCGCTTCATAACTACGTTCAGAGAATCGTTTCGCAGATTTGGAGAGCAGATTCGAGATCAGCGTCCAAAAACACATCTAGTGGTGTATGTCTCGTTACAAATGGCCACTTCGACCTGGTATCCTTCCCTTGTTAGTCTTTTTTCCTTACAACATAGCGGCCACACTCGCGGGATGTTCCACGAGTTTGTCTATCTGATCCAGGACCAGCTGCAGCAAACTCCGGCCAGGGGATGGATCCCCAGAACTCTGCGTCTCTACTCCGGTCGATGACCCAGTCCTCGTGATCGAGAATAGGGGATGCGTTCAGAGATGCTGAGTTTTGGGGACCCATCCCCTCGCCGGGGCTTGCTATACCCGGCCCCCCGCATTGAAATAATGGCCACTCTCAAAAGCGCCTACAGAAAACATGCTGATGGACAGGAAACACGATCTAAGAAAACGCTTACAACATTCAAAAGAACAGGAGAGGCATAACGAACTCAAGAACTAATGTCAATCCGTAGCGCCCTTAGCGGGGTAAGTGATTGGCGTTGTTACAAAGAAAAGATTAGGAAGTTGCGTGGAATTTCACACCAGTCTGCCTGCATTGTCAAAAATGGGGCTACGATAGTGACGGTGTTCAAAAAGGTTCCCAAAAATACGTACGAAACAAGGCTACACACTTATTGAACTCATAAAGACGTGATAACAAGCAAAATGAGAAAAGAACCATGATTCGTTCACAAAAACGAA